ACCCTGGCCCTCCACCAGGAGCGCCCAGACTCACCTTCCTGTACCAACTCCTGCTGCTCTTCTGGAAAATGGCCTGGCCAAAGGCAAGACGCTGCATTTCAAACGGTCAGGCATCCCAAATGCAGTGATGTCATTTGCAGCTTTGACCTTGAGCTTCCTGTAAATTCTCCATGGCTCAGTGATACCTCTGAGTTAGAATGACCCTAATGACCCCTGACCCTACCCCTGGAGAGACTCTTGGGTCTAGACACCAGTATCTCCACTCTTTCAATACACACCTGTAGGCTGCCCATTCAGGCCACATCCCGCCTCCTTCTGAGGCTGCAAAGACGACCAGCCCACAGGTCCCCACTCTCAGGTCTGGCGCAGGAATGGGCCGGCCCCAGACACAGAGGACCAGGAAAGAGTTGGCTCACTCCCTTATTCATTACCAGCCCTGAACCCGTCTCAGGCTGCCGGGTAGAGACAGACGGGGAGAAGCTGCTGCAGCTGTTGGGTCAGACATCTGTGGGACAGACACCGAGGATGAAGCACTGAGCAAGCCAGGAAGTGGGAAGTGGGAATCCTGGACCTCTGGGGAAAACGAGGCCTAGAGCTAGGTCACAGCAGATACGTGGATTGGACTTTCCCAGACAGAAAAGAGAGGAAGGCATCACCGGCCAGGCCTGGAGAACTAAAGTCCTCGCCCTGTTCAGGAGCAGGCTGGAGCCTGAGGTGTGGGTGGAGAAGGCAGAAGGGAAGCGGACGTGGGCTGAGGGGCTGCTGAGCCGGGCCATGGAAGACCCTCCCAGTCAGCGTTGAGGTTTCGAATTTTTTTCTTTTTTTTTTAATCCTTTTTTTTATTTTTTAGTGGAACGCTTCACGAATTTGCATGTCATCCTTGCGCAGGGGCCATGCTAATCTTCTCTGTGTCGTTCCAATTTTAGTATATGGTGCTGCTGAAGTGAGCACAAGTTTTTGAATTTTATCTTGAGGGAAATCGGGAGCTATTGAAAGTTGTAAGTGAAAAGCAAAGGGCTCTGTGGTCCTCCTCCCAGAAACCCATAACCCAAATCTAATCATGAGAAAAATATCAAACAAACCCAAATTTTAGGAGTATTCTACAAAATACCTAAGCAGCACTCCTCAACACTGTCAAGGTCAGCAAAAACAAGTCAAGTCTGAGAAACTGTCAGAGAGAAGAAGCTAAGGAGACATGACAACTAAATGTCATGTGGTATCCCACAAGGAATCCCAGAGCAGAAAAAGGATATTAGGGAAAAACTAGTAAAATCCAAATAAAGTGTGACGTTAACGGTAACGTACCATACACCCAGACAATGCGCTAATATCAACAAGAAAAAGAATGACGTCCTGGCCGGGCGCGGTGGCTCACGCCTGTAATCCTAGCTCTCTGGGAGGCCGAGGCGGGAGGATTGTTTGAGCTCAGGAGTTCGAGACCAGCCTGAGC